ATCCACAGTCACTTTAAATCTACTTTTAAAAATCTTTTACTATATTTTTATACTTTTACAGGTATCAAATCACAAAGCTTAAAATATCAGAAACTCCTTTGTCCATCCTCACCAAGTAACATCACCTCCTACGATAAAATACAAAAAAAACCCATTAAAAAACAAACAGAAAAAGAGAAAATGCTTTGAAAAAGTTATTTCAAAATTCAGACATATGGCGCTCGAAAGAAGCAATGTCTCAATATTTTCAATCACCTAAGAGTTGCAGAAGATGTTGGTTTTCTATAATGACGATGTTCTCAATGCCTTGATTGTAATTATGTCATAGTCACTCGGGAAACTGAGATGATCTGAGGGATTATAAGGAGCCAGACTTTATTGAGGGTAGGAAAGATTAGTTGCCTTGTTTCTTAGGGCAAAAGAAATGAAATAAGCCAAAAATGTTGAAAATCATAACTTCTTTATTCCCCGCTAAAAGTAAACTACAGCTACGAAGTACTCTAGTATTATCAACTGAGTTGATGACGTAAATTGGCCATCGCAGAGAGTTCCAAAGCTGACGTTTCGAGCCAACAGAGAGAATTGGCTGATTTTCATTCCCATAAAAAGGTAAATACTTACATCATTCTCATATGTTCCAGAGAATGCGCCTTTTTTAAAGTCCTGCTTTGGTTTTTCTTCTGATTCCTGTTTGGCAAAACCAAGAGATTAAGACAACTTGCTGACAAGCTGATTGACAAACTGATCGAATAAAAGACCAACCGACCGACTGCCTGCCTGATTGAGTCACTGACTGACTGAATGACCAAGAGACCGACCGACTCACTCACTGACTAACTGATTGTTAAGTTCTGATTGATCAATACTCCTGCATCTTGGTGATTTTTCTTTTCGCTTATGAAGGCGTGCCTTGGGAGCCAACTGACCAGCCGATTAACCATCTCGCGCACTACATGTAGCTGGATGATTTACTGACTTACTGATTTGTTTGCTGGGTGCCTGCCATTCAGGCTGATTGACTGAAAAACTAATTGATTGACTGACTGAGTGAATAGCTAACACATTGACTGTCTGACTGTTCAACTCAAACATACCTGCGTGAGTGAGGTACTGAACAACTGGCTAACCAGTTGACTGCTTGCTTGACTGTCTAGCCGAAAATTTTACTTCCGAGCCAGCTGCGTGCCTGCCTCTTTGCCTGACTTATTGAACTACTGACTAACTGGTCTCCACTGACAAGCTACATGTGATTGGTTGGTACATGAAAATGTAGATCAAC